ATCAATACACATACCTGGGATGCGAACGTTTGTCTTTATCCGAACTTCTACTGGAGAGCAATGCGGAAGAGTCGTATGATAGTCACCAGTGTTACCTCGACATTTTCCACCAAAACACGATCTAGACAGCATCCATGTAAAGGTGGAAGAACTGGGGCGTCACTTTTCTCAACTTGCAGCCACACTTGACCACCTAAACGAATGCGGAAGACAGGAATTCAAGAAATATATGCAGTTTATCAGGATATAGTGGGGAGAAATAAGGACCACTTCTCCTCTTCGGAATGGACACGAATACAGACTACAATCGAAGTTTCCTGAGGATCCGGTCTGTGTGTGCACTATTATTTGTCTCTTTGGATTAAACCTCGGTCGAAGTCTTATCAGTGAATCCTTAGTTGTGCTGCCCGCCAGAATCCCAACTAACTAGACTCTTAAACCCAGTTCGAGGCCCTGTTGAATCAAACGCATGGCCCTTAGCTAGTTTAGATCGACAGCTTACAGCACTTTAAGTCAACGCTAATGAATTATTTTGATCAGTGGTTAAATAATGGCTAGAAACATCGGGGTTTGCTAACGGAGGCACATAAAGAGAAATTAAAAGAGATGCGGCCGCATAAATATATCCTCAAAACGAGGCTACATAAGATAACTGCAAATGTCTACATGGCAGAACGGATTACATTGCGAAAATGCGATCCATTCTGTCAGATAACGAAGAATTAAGCAAGACAGAAAAGGAGAAAGATCACACGGGCGAAGTGCAAATACAGCTGACTGACTGTCAAAAAACAGCATTACAAGACCGGCGCCATAAGTGAATATGAATTAGACTTTCTCCGTTCCGTTGGCAAGCATTTGCCTCGATCATAAGGGCTACCTAAGATTCAAAAGGATGGCTTTCCCGTTCGTCCTATCCTGGATATGGGAAACTTGCCGTCCCACGCGATAGCAAAATGGCTAGCGGACAAATTGAAACACATATAGAGTCAACTAGCACCACACAGCCTCCGAACCTGCGAATTCCTGGACAGCCTAAAAGACCTCGACCTGAATGAGATGGTGATGATGATTTCACTAGATGTCTCGTCCCTGTTCACGAACGTGCTAGTCACAGAAACAGTCAATTACATATATGAATTCGTTGTCTGTAATCAGCAAGGTATAGGAATGTCGGCAATGTTTAATGTACCTTGAAGATACATTTCCTATTTGACAATTACCATTACAGGCAGTCGGACGGAGTAGTTATGGGCTTGCTCCTGGGCCAGCTTCTAGCAAATATATATCAGCCAACAAATAAATAATCTGACGTACTACGGGCCCTATGTTCATGATATATTCGCGGTTGCATCTGAATAAACCAATGTAAAGCAGGCGCACCCGTCAATATAATTAACACAAGAAGAAGAACCGTACGGATTGCTCCCCAATTTTCGATGCGCTTTTGAGCAAAATGCCTGACAGAAGTATTTAATGTAGGATCTATCTTAAAAAAACGTGGTCCGGGCAGTATACCCATTTTGCAGGTTTCGTAAAGTATAGCTTCAAACTTAATAAGGTACGATCTTTGACACAAAAGGTGAGAAGTATTTGCTCAACGGATAGCATCGCAGAAAAGCTTAAGATGGTAGAAGTCGATTTATTGCCAAGAACGTGGCTAAATGACCGCTAAGCGACCTCCTCCTCAGCCAAGCCGTAACGAAAGCCTTTGTAGCGGCCAACGCCCATCTGCTGTTATCGACTATTTCCATTCTGTATGGAGAGATAATAAACTGCCAGCCGAGACCATCCCTATGTGTATCTATTCATTCAGGTGTTCCTGTAGGGCAGAATATATTGGTCGCACGAGCCGAAGTCTAGCCAAAGGAGTACGAGAGCAAC